CCCCACGCCAGGGCATTGCAGCACCTGGGCCGAGTGCCAGAACAGCATTCGACTCTGCCAGGCTGTCCTGGGCACGACTTGGAGAGTTGCAGAGACCCTCAGGGCAGGAGACCCCAGCTGCTCAGGGCAGAGGAGAAGGAGAAGGCTCGAGGCGGCTCAGGGCAGAGGAGGAGGAGGAAGAAGCTCAGGGCAGAGGAGGAGGAGGAGGAAGAGAAGGAGGAGGAGGAGCCGGCGCTGGGCCGTCCGCTCCACCGTGCGGGCACCGAGCGCCCTCTCCTGCCGTGTCCGAGGAGGGGAGAAAACGTCCGTGTCGCTCTGCAGGAAGGACGATGCTCTGCGAAAGGATGTTCCCAGGAACTCCTCTCTGCTCCGGTTCAACACCCGAGTTCAAGCCCCTCTTGCAGAGGGGACATCCATTCTCTCCCTCCTGTTCCACCCTGGCACTGCCTGGAGAGGGACGTGTCGCCCAGCCTCTCCTGCCGTGTCCGAGGAGGGGAGAAAACGTCCGTGTCGCTCTGCAGGAAGGACGATGCTCTGCGAAAGGATGTTCCCAGGAACTCCTCTCTGCTCCGGTTCAACACCCGAGTTCAAGCCCCTCTTGCAGAGGGGACATCCATTCTCTCCCTCCTGTTCCACCCTGGCACTGCCTGGAGAGGGACGTGTCGCCCAGCCCGGGACGCAGGCACGGAGCCAGCTCAAACAAGCTACCAAACGCCCGAGCCGGCGCCGGGAGCGCAGGAACAACGCTGCCGCGCACACGCCGGCATCTCCCACTTGCTCCTGGAATGACGGACCTGACTCGCTCGGCCGCCAGCACAGCAAAGCAGCGATGCCGGCCGGGCAGCGGAGGCACCGGCGGCACCGGCGTTGGCAGCCCAAGCCCTGCTGCTCGAGGAAGCACAGAAACATCCGTCTCCCGCGCGAGGCCCTCCCTCAGCCTCCATAAGGACACGGCAAGATGGAAAGAGCAAAAGACTTCAGGTTTTTAATTCAGCCCTCTCCCCACATCACCTCTCTGAAAAGGGTGCTGTGGTGAACTCCATCTTCTGTGCATGGTTAGGGCTAATTTGGATCTGTCAAAGGTTGCCAATCTTTTTCAGAAATAGCTATCATTGCTGCTAGGATCAGGAGAGTATTTTCTTTTTCCTCCCAGGCAAATTTGGCGAGCTTTAAGCAGCTTGTTTGGGCCGGCCCCGTTGCGGCTACGGGGTCATTTTGTGCTCCTACACGTTCCCATCTAGCGCACAGCTGTGCTAAGAGGCTTTGCTGGAACAAGTGCTCCCTCTGCACCCACCTCCCCTGCCCTCCTCAGCAGCAAACAAGGGGAAAACTCTCATTCTTTACAAACAGGTCATTGAGAAGCAGACTTCCCCGGCAAATGTTTGCGTTACCTTTTCTAAGAAGCTGTCTTCTCCCTGAGAGCAGTGGGAAAGAGAGAAGAGGAAAAAAGTATCGTTAAGAGAGAGAACGCACTCTCAGATTAAGCAGAAACCTAATTTGCATTACGAGAACCCGCTGAGCGCCAGGTCCTTCACACATTTTGCTGACATGGCCAAAGTTAAACCTGTGGTGAGAGATTTGCCTGCCAATTAGCAAAAATCCTGCTCACATGATGAACAACCTTGTCAGGATTTCTACAAACTCCTCAAAGGGGCCTTGCAGCAGCACCGTTCGCTATCCAGCAAACGGTCAGGCCACGGGCAGATGACAGGTGTCCACCAGGAAGAAGTTCTCCTTCTTGAATCTTCCCGGTAAGAAATAAACATCCCTGGATTATTTCAGCCATCTTCCCTTGCGACCAGGCCAGAGATAAAACCCTCGCTGGGCTAAATCCGTATTTCTGGGTGTGCGGCAGCTGTGGAGCTAGCAGGCCCCCTAAGCAGCTTTGTGTACAGTCAGGGAAATGAGTGTTTGTGCTCAAAACCCCGGGCTGCTCGTCTGTCTCAACCTAATAGCATTAACACCCTGCGAGGAGGAGCGTGCCGAAGCCCCTCCAGGCTGCACGTCCAATCCCTCAGGCGATCCTGAAACACAGCATCCCTTTCCCAGCGCAGTGCAGGCTGGCAGCGTAGGACACTGTTCAGCGGAGTCTGCAGGAGGAAAGTGAAGCAGGCTGCCCAAGCTGAGTTTTGGCAGATTGACCTTTCAGGGTGGGAGCAATGCTGGGAACATAGCTGCAGCCCCCGTGGCACAGGGCACGCCCAGGAGGGAGCAGCATCTTGGGCTCCCCTGCGCCTTCTGCAGTGCCCGCTTCCTTTGGAGGGTCACTGAGCTTTAGTAGAGCCACAACAGACCGGGCTCTTGCAGAGAACAGCTTGCTCCAAACACAAGCTGGCACGGGTGCTTCTTCCAAGGCACGGGGGGAGGGATGGCAGCCACAGGCTTGGGACGGCAGACAGCCACGCTGCACAGGAGAGGGGCTCGTTTCGTAACGGGTGAGTCATCTCAACAGCCTCCGTACCACCTACCTGCCTGCTCGCCCTGCTCTTCACCTCTTCCTGTGGCGTTCAGCACAATTAGCTCCATGAGACCAACCTGCTCCTGACAAAGATTCTTCAAGAGGCTTTTTAAAGCCCACAGTAGGATCTCAAGAAAAAGTAGGATGAGACACTAATACTGAAACCTCAAAGGCGAGATGCTCAAGTGTCAGCAGCTTCTCCCAGGAGAACCAGGAGAGCCATTTCCAAACAAGCTCCCACCTACACTTTGCTATCCTGCATCAAACTGCCTCTCAGACCCCTACTGACCTGCATTCTCCAGACCTCCTTCTGCTGAAGGCAACAGATACAGCCCAGGCTGAGAAACACGCTCGACACAGTGAAGAGCAAGCCCTAACGCCACCTGAGTGCAGGAGGGAAAGTAGCTCTTGGTACACAAACACCGTGCCTTCCTCGCAGGGTCTGAGCATCAGCCAAACACACGCAACTGGACCAACACGCTTCCGGGCTGCAGCGCGGTCAGCGTGTGCGCCGCTCTCCCTCGCAGAACGCGCTCGGCTCGTCCTGCCTCCAAGAATTTCCCAACTCACAGGTATGATCTAAACCAAAACACCTAAAATAGCTCTAACGTGACAGTAGCTTTATAATCCGAGTGACTAAATTTTGCTTTGGGCCGTCACACATCGTATTGCTTGAGTTTGCTTCACGTGCTCCGATTGCAGTACTGCAGTCCCACTGACCCCACTGGCACAAGAGACTGTTCCTTTGCTGCAGATACTGGGACAGGGTGCTCTTCTCCGATTGTTTTCCTTCCTGTACTTCTGTATGTTTCACTGAATAACAGGAGAAGGAAATCTATAGGTAAAGGAAGCAGAAGAAGCCTCAAAGTACTCTTAGAAAAGTAATAGTGTGTGTCTGTGAGGGCAGAAGTCAAGAGTCGAGGCCCATGTTCCTATCTATCAAGGCAGAAGTCAGCACTGAGCAGGAAAAAGCAGGTGGAAAAGCCACCAAGACTCATTAAATGCTCCAGACCAAGTTCAACACGTTTCTAGAATAAGACTGACTTTCAGTCGAAGCCTGAAAAGTAGAGGAGCCTGAGGCTTGGATTAGCAGCTTGAACTGGGGGCAAACACTGTGTCTTGCCACCTGGACCATGCTTAGCCTGATCTTGTGATTACAAAAATCAAAATTTTGGTACAAAAATGGCCTTTCTGTGTGTTGGGTCTGTGAGAAAAGTAGACACCTACGACAAAAGGTGGGAACTGGAAGAGGCAGCAAGAGGCACGGTGCAACTGCCAAAGGAAGAGGAAGTGTGGTGTGAAGAGAAAGCGTACGCAGAAAGGACTGGAAGCTGTCGAATCCACAGGCGTGAAAAAGCAGCAGCTCACTGGACAAAAAAAACGCAGGTAAGGATGAGACTGTAAGGTATGGGAGGAGAGGAAAGGTGTCGTGTCAGAGATGGAAAGAACTGGGCTAATCTTTCAGGTGAACAAAACCCAAACGGTTTTCCTGGCTAAGCAAGAACGAGCACATAGGCTGAAACTCAGGAACGGCTAAACCCCACTGAAGCAAGGCCAGGAAAGGCCATCCGAAGCGAGGAAGGAAAGAAGGCTGGAAACAAGAATTAGGATCCCCAAAACAGGCCTAAATCTCAGAAACAGCCACGAGACACCAAAAAGACAAAAGGTGACCAAGGCACAACTGCAGGCCCTCGCACGCACGCGAGTGGTTCAGAAGGATGAATATTGACGCCCGGGGCCGGTGAAGCTTGGGGAGAGGAACAGGCCAGTGTGGTCAGTGGGAGAGGAACTGGCCATTTGCTGGGCTGTACTCGTCAGCACACCCAACAGCATCGAAGTCCTTTCTTCGGGCCTCCTGTTTCTGCTTGTTCCTTCCCCCGAGCAGTGCGAGTGCCTCAAGTGTCCAGGAGGAAAAGGATCCTGGAGCCCTCGTCACTGCAGAGGAAGCACAGGCACCTCGGAGGAGAACACTTCAATCACACCTCTTACGACACACCAGTGCCACCCAGCTGAGCCTGCCAGCACCAACACGACAGTAACACAAAGCGCGAGGTGCTGGGATCACTTTTTTGTCCCACCAAACAGTATTTAGAACCTACTCAGAAATAGGGAATAAAGTACAGGCTGTCAAAAGCCACTGGTTGTGGTGGAGGGAAATAATAAGAGAGCACCTCAAGGCTGGAAAAAGTGAACCAGCTCAGAGCCAGCACGGCTGATCCTGGCTGAAGGCATTCCTCCTGCTTTTAGGAGTAATTAGAAAGGAATATGGTCTCTCCCTGTTAAGAGAGCTGCTCCGGAACGCTGCTACTCACCAGGTCAATGAGTTTGGTGACTGGGACTTCTCGAATCGGTCGTCTCATTCGGCATAAGGCCTCCAGGGAGGTGCCAAAGCAGCTGGGCAGGTAGGTTCCACTGATGGTAAGGAAATAGTCCTTCCCTCGGTCCAAGTGAAGGACAAGAATATCCTCAATTTTATCCTCGCCAGAGTTCAGAAGCGTTACTGAGTCCTTACTGACATACACGTCCAGGGAGATGTCCATGCTCTCATCTGCAACAGACAGGAGCTCTGAAGAACACAGAGATGCTCTCCAAAAGGGATGACAAGGACAAACAATCAGTGGCAGTGACAAAGGCCACAAAACTGAGAAGACACACAGACAAGGATGATGTCAAGAAAGATGAGACGCAGGAAAGATGGGAAGAAGTGAACGGAGAAGGGGTAGCAGCCTACACCAGTACACACTGTAGAAACCGTGGTGAAACTCACCTGGCTCCAAGTAACCTTCACAAGGCTCAGCCCGAAGCCATGGCTTACAGTAGTGGCTATCGTTGAGCTTTGGGATGAACGAGAAGTGACAGGGGACCTGCCCGTTATTGGTGATCTGGAACTTCTGCTTCTGCAGCTGACGGAACTTCACGTTCTCAAACTCAAACTGCAGAGCAAAGAGAAAACACAAATCATGTTAGTGGCCACAGTGGGACACACAGCTCGGCACCCAGACTCTGCCGTGGCAACCCATGACTGAGAAGTGCCCACGCAATGCAGAACTCCTAACGGAAGACCTGCCAAGAAGCCAAGGCAAGATGTCCCTTCTAATCCAATTCCTGATCATAAGATGACAGATGAAGTTCTATTTCTTATAATCCAGTTTACTGAATCAAAGTCTTTAAAAGTATTTCTAGCACTTCTAAGGCTGCTGTGTTTGGGAGGTGGACAGTGATTCAGGTTTCATCCTCACTTCTCTCCTGCTTAGCTCCAGCGAAGGAAGGAAGTCATTCTCCATTCTGTCCATTATACGAACGATGTCTTCAAACAACTTCCGATACTTCTGCTCATCCACAACCTTTACCTGTGGAAGATCAGAAAACAGCAAAGTTTCTGACCAGCTTCACAAGAACTCTTTTGATCAGGAGTAAACTGCAGTGGCAGAATATTTCTTTAAGCACTTGCTGTGTGCAGCTGAAAGGCCGAGAGAATTTGCACGCACGGGTGCACCTCCGAGCTGCGTATACAACTTTACGTGTATTTTACCCCTGCAGATGTTACTACAGTTTTTCTGGCCACTAATTACACTACTGGGAGACCACTGGGGGCGATCTCTGTGGGACAGCGTTGGCGTCTCGCAGCATTACTCAGGATTCTCCAGAGGAAGAGGAGAAAGGCTCTCCTTTAAGGAGACCTGAGGTACCTAGGGAGCAGGAGGTAGCAAACCCAGACTGTCTCTATTCAGTAAGGCAGGAAAGCCAAACCTGCTGCCAGCCATTCACCACCAAAGAAAGTCAGATGTGAACCAGTGACACGCTCTGGTGTTAATACACATCAGAGGCGACATCACAACAGCAGGCACAACTATTTACAGGTTTCTGCTGTGTCTCCTTGCGGAGGACAGAAAACCATTGGAGTAGCTCACCCATTCTGGTACTAGATATCACGCGTTATAGCCCAGAAGCCAAGCAGCCCCATTAAAGCAGCCAAGGGAAACACCTTTCTATTTACTACATGGGCACACCTGCCCAGGTAAACTCCCGGGATCACCTGCACAACTGGGGCATAACACTACCCGGGTGCGACACAGCCGAGCAGCGCTGCGCACGCAGAGCAAGTCGCCGTTTGGGCGGCGGAGGCTGCCGAGCAGCAGCACACCTACACGGTGGGCACACCTTGTTTGTGTTTCCTCTGTCCTCTCGCAACGGCGTGAGCAGAGGTGCCTCCACTACATAACCCCCTCCTGAAGGAATGGAAGGCAACACTGTGGTCCTACCCTAGCATATAAAAAAAAGTTACCCCAATGCGGAAAAGCGCGCTGACTGGCTTGTGGTCACTGGTCTTCAGGTCCATGTGGCTGCAATACCGGAGCTGATTTATGTTCCCTCCTCTCCAAAGGACTCGATCACACCATGCTGGCACACGACACTTTCCACTACAAAGAAAAACAGGTTACCAGGGAAATACAACAATCCTAATGAACCATCCAAGCTGTTCCTCTTCCCAGCCAGGCAGCTCCCTCCGCCCCCACCGTCATTGACTGAATCAGCAGTGACAGGATGAACTCCTATCACTTCCCTCAACTTCAATACTTTGTTATTTTGGTCCCTTTCCCTCTACAGCAGCTAAAATTCCCATCCTTTCCAGCATCAGGAAACAAAACAGCCTCAGACAAGACTGTTTCTGCAGCCTGAAGCCTGTGTACCCTGACCCAAGCTGCACTAGTTTCTTTGGCTGCCAGATCTTTGTGCCCACTACAACCTGATCCTTCGCTTACTGTTTCCACTGCAGAAAGGCTACTCAGCCATTACTATTATGTTATGGTTATCCTTTTCCAGACTAACTACTGTGCAGATTCATAAACACAGGCAGAGGAAAATGCAATCGCTGTATAGTTTGAAACTCCTTCTTGGGAGTTTCTCCATTTAGAGCCAGCTTCTGCAGCAGATGCATAAACACCCGTGGGAGGCACCAACAGAGAGCAGCGAGCAGGAACCACTGCTGCTATCGCAGCACAGCCACCCCTGCGGGTGAGCAAGTCAGGGGACAGGATGACTCAGAGAGACTGTTTCCTTATCTTTTCAATTCCTTGTATACTGGTTGGCTGTCCCTGGTAGCAGAAAAAACCCTCCAGTGCAGGGCCACCTGCGGGCTCACACTTCACCTGCCTTCACCTATGGGGATCAGCAGCAATCGAGGTTTAAGGCATGTGCCTGGTCACACAGGTCTGCTTATTTCAGAAAGTTGGGGAAACACAGGAGCACAGACTTGTCTATGCACTCCAGCCAGCACCATAACACAGAGGTATTTCAGCTCTAGGAAGCAGGAAATCAAGTTTTGTGAGAAAATGCTTTCTATGTCATAGGCAAACATGTCCGTTGGCAGCTGATTTACCTGGAGTCCCAGCGATCTGTTTTAGAGTCATATTTATACGTGGGGATGAATTTAATCTCTCCCTCGTTGAAATCTGCAAATGCTTTCTTATGAGTGCGCTGAATATTCAGCTAAGGCAGAAAAAGAACACTTAAAACGAAACCAAAAAGCCCCCTCAAACACCCCCCCACCACAGCAGAGTGTCAGAGAGCAGATCTACAGGCAGAGCAATTGTAACCTGTGGCCATGGGACTCAGCAGACACCCCCCAAACTGCCTCTCAGACCTTACACCTTTAAAAAAGGTAAAAATTCAACACATCAGTGGGATGTTTCCTAAACAGACTGGATCCGAACTGGCACAGCGCTGCTACCAGACCATGCAGACAGCATAAAACAATAGCTAAGGGAAATATTAACTGTTCCACTTGTGCTAAATGCCTGAATCAGGCTTAAGCATCACCATCGTTAATATCACACTGCTAATGATTTGAGCAAAAGCCTCCAGGAGTGCACTTGGCTGACAACCCGACACTGCCTTCCTTTTCTCATTTACTCTTCTGAAGAATTTCCTAGTTGTTTTCCTCACAAACATCTAAGCTCCAGTTGTTTTCTGCAGGAAGCTCTGCAGTACAGCAAAAACGAGCTACAGAACAGCATCAATCAGCTTTCCTGTTAAACTGCGTGTCGGAGATGACATTACACTACTTCTGTTCATGTTTCACAGGTACAATCCTTCATCTTAAAGGCACATCTGGCGCCGTCTCGTTTTTCAGTGTGCTGCAAAGAAATGCTGAACTGGGAAGACCACAGCACAGAACCTAGGTCCAAGGGGCTGAGCAGAGAGCCTTGGCCACAAGCACTGGTCCCTAAATCAGTACCGCTTCCAGAACCCCCATTACAGCAGCTTTTGTTGCTGTTACAAATTCCTACGTTCCTGTGTGCAGTTTGTATGTAAGAGAGAACTATTCCAATCTGCTGCAAAGACACCTCTGGGGTAACTGCCAGAGTCATCCAGTTAATCCCGGTACGACGTCCCGTCTGTTTTCATTCAGGGGGTTCTGTCACCAGGACACCCAGAGCTCTGTCTGGGCTCTACGTCTACAGACACTCCTGGCAGGGCACGTGCCAGCTCCTCGCAAGCACACGCACGCCTTGATCCAAGACGGCCTCACGAGTACGGAGCAAACTTAAGCGGAGTTCACTGACCTGGTCGTATGTCAGCAATTTCTGAAGCTCATTCTTACTGATAAGACTTTTCACTTCACTGGCATCAGGGAGACAAAGCCTGTAGTTCAAGTCTCCTAGCCAGATGACAACACTGGAAGCAAAGACAAACGTGGAAAAGAACAGCCAGTAGTTAGTACCGCAGGCCACGGAGGCAAGAAGGGGCGTAGGAGAATAGACGGTCGGTTGCTGGTGATTAAAGTTGAGACACATGGAAGACAAAAGGAGACATGAAAGATGGAGTCTGACAGCAGAAATTTCTAGTGGCAGCAGATACTATAGCACTAAGTCCATCTCCTCTGGAATCCCACATGGGATGGACGACTTACTTTAACGGGAGACGGTTGAGTTTGCCTCAGTCTGAAAAAAGCCCGAGAACACCACCAACTCTCTAATGAGGTGAAACCAGCCCAGCTCACCAAGCTCCAAAACCTCCCGAGCTACACGAAATCCATCTGATATTCAGGCTCTTCTGGTGTACAGAAGAGGGCAATGACAGAACTCATTAAGCAGAGCCGGCTCATCGACCAGTTCGGCAGGCTGGTGTGCGTGTACCCGCACGCTCCTACCCCATGCGGTACCGTGCTTTTACCAGTTCTTTTTCCACTGCTTTTCCTTCAACCAGACCAGGCCACTACTGCGTCATCCACCTAACAAAGACTGGCTGATGCAGAACTGGCAGAAGCAGAGTTCAGTTCCTGTTGAGTTTATGACCTCCTGAATGTTACTGTCCCACCTCGCCCACCAGCCACGCTGCATCAGCACCTGCTCTTCCTCTGCTCCTCTCTGGGCTTTCAAACAGACCTACAGCCTTCTCACTACCAGCAGCTAAAGAAACACTCGGGGCATTCACTCTTTACTCCATAAAGGTTTCATTTAAAGATTAAAATCTAAATCCCTCTCTAGTATCAAAGCTCTTCCTGTTTATAGTCAAACCTTAAAATTTCCATTAATGGATTATCAAGGATAATCTAATATTTGAAGTTTTTTTTCTGTGCTAATCTACTCTCTACATTTTATTTCCAGTTTTCGAATGGTTTAAATATTAAGTACAGAAGTATTAATCACTTCTATCAGCTTTAAGAAAACTTAATTGATATGCTTTGCTGTACACGTTTGAGTTTGATTTGGATTATTCATCACCACTGTACTGTCATCTGATTAAAAATAATAATAATTTAAAAGAAATCAATATTGCCTGCATATCATCCGATTGATTTAAAAAGAAACTGAAACAGCAGTTGTAACCACTTGTTACTCAAAAAAGCCTAAAGAGCACAGCCTCTGCCCATCCTGCCATTCCTTCTCTTCCCTGCTCATGCTCCCATTTCCCATCACAACCCCCCCAGTTTCTCCAAGCCCTGCAAAGTTCAGCCATTGACTCGGAACGGCGCCTGCTGAAACGGGGCACGCCAGGAGAGGGCAAGCAGTGACAGGCAGCACAAGTCACCACTAAGAAGGTGACCACGTAGTCTGACTGCAGGAGCAGGACTGCACACCAGAGGCCTTTTCAGTTACATTATTAAGACAGAAAACTTATCTGCACGAAAGCTCCCGTTGCTGTGATTCCGGCTTGATTTGGATTATCCAACACTACTTCAAAAGGGAAAAACAGCCAAATGAACTTACTCGTGTTTCATGATGTTGAGCTGAGGTAGACTATCATCAACGGTTACAAAACTCATCCGAGCACATATATCCTTGTAATCCTGATTCCGCCGCTCGAAGTCCTCCACGTGAGCAGCGAGGTGGGAATTGACAACGCAGAAGGTGGTGTTGTGGAACACAAACCTCACCGCCACGCCGCCCTTGTTGCCCTGGGGAGAGCAGGTACCAGCGTCGTTAGAGAAGGCGGCAGGTGAGGCACCAGAGAGGAGCCGGGGAGGGCACAGACAGGTGAACAAAACCCGACTGTGCTGCTTCTTGCATGGACGCACGGAAGCAACACATCGGCCTCGGTGACTCACCATCTTTCCCATGATTCCCGTGCCCACGGACTCCGTCATGATCTCTCTGATATTGCTCAGATGATCTTTCTTAGCAAAAACGAGCAACATCATCCCAACCAGACGGACCATGTGCACCTGCGAAAAATAAAAGGAATCCTGAGTTCCCAGAAAGGCAGTGGAAACGCAGTTCTGATTTGCCTGCTCTGTCTGGTGTTCTGCTTCTCTGGCTCTCCCTGTTCCTCATCACCTTCTGTGCTCAATACCTGCTTGCAACACCACTCGAAGGACCTCCTGTCCCAGAGAAAGGCTCTGCAGGACAATCTGTCACCTGTGCTGAGCTCACTACATTCCCCCTCCCTGCTGCTTTTCCACAAGCAGGGCTGTCTTGCAAGGCAACAAACTTCATAAGCACAGAGCAGATCTGTCTGTGAAGTCTCAGCCTTTTGCTTCTTGAGCACAGTCTACAGGCTCACTTTGGAGGCTTAAAACCATTAAGATGTGTTGGGATTAACCCCATGCAGTGAGGGAAGACACTGAAATCGGAGAATTCACCTGGAAGAGCCCAAGCACTCAGTCCACACTGCAGGAGCAGAATTTGCACGCAACCGCGAGTCTGATCTACGGTTTCAGTCACTTCCCCCTGCCTGCAGCCATATCCTGCTCTCTTCCTTCCACGACAGTGGGAGAAATTCACCTAAAACCCAAGAAAAAGCCAAGGGGCGGAACACGAGCCTCTCCGCAGCGCAGGCCGTGGCCCCCAGCTCCCTCTCGACGCCCTCGGTTCAGCGAGGGGCTGTTTCCTGCTCTGAGCTCCTGTAACGTGCCGCTGAGCTCAGCTCAAAGCCAGCACAGGGGCGTGCTGGTGAGCACACAGGCCAAGGGGGAAGGGGAAACTGCTTAAGGTATTTAGGTAGTAGGGAAAATACTTAAGGTATTCCGCTGGTACCTACAGCGGAAAGGTTTGCTACAGCTGAGATATTAATTTTATTTACCAGCTCCAGACATACGTTGCTTCTATAGTACCACAGCAAGAGGGTACCACAGATAAAGAATTTGAATGTGCTGCTATGATTCTATCAAGCGTACTATTTCCCTGATACCTTCCTCATATTTCACAAAGTTATTTTGATCCTCATCTTTTTAAATTTCTGCTTCAAAGTGCGGTATCCCCCTACAACTGTGGGACAGAAATGGACTCTCCGGATTGAAGTTGTCAAACCTGACACGTGCACAGGCACACACACGCCACGTACACACCCTTGGCTTCTCCAGTCACCACTCCCGGGGTCAGGTGAGGAAAGGGGAAGCCCATTTCTGTTTTCCTTCCAGTCATGTCAACTCCACGACAAAAGCCCACAACACTGAACAGAACTCACTTTCTTATACTTAGCCTGCGGGTGCAGGGACTTCTCCACAGCAGCCAGCCATTCTTGCTCCTTTGCAGAATCAAGGTAGAAAAACGCCTCCGTGCTGAGGTCCAGCTCCTGGAACCTAAAAAACCAAGCCAACTTCAAACACCCCACCTCTCCTCGCTGCAGGAAATGTAGAAACTTCTAGCAACAGCTCCTCTTGGAAGAGAAGCTCCTTATTCCCACGTGCTAAACAGAGCAGCAGAATTTCACCACGGTGCCTCTGAGACCTTCATGCCACACGCTCCAGCAACCATCTCTCTGAGAAGTATTACTTCAGGCTGAGGACAACCAGAGAGCTCCCTGGATGCCTCAAGGAAAATCCATTTTGTTATGTCATGGCAGCCTCATTTAACCCGATACTCCACCCCATCCAAATGAGTCTTCCCCCTCACACAGCTCTTCCAAGACACAGCTCAGCTTTGTGGGACCTCGGAGAACGTGACAGGAACTTAAAATAAATACAGCCCACCGTTATCCAAGCAAGAGCAACAAGAGACCCAGCACCATAAGTACATACGAGGTCACTGCTACTCACCCGATGCAGTAGAAGTCTGGCGGCTCCGAGTCGCACACCAGCCAGGGCTCCAAGCTGCTGTCTGGAGACTGCCCGTTCACATTCCACGTTCCCACAAAAAATCTACAACACAGAAGCAGCTGAACTGTTAGAAAACACAGGAACAAGTGCGCCAGCCCCGTCTCTCCAGTGTGTGCACAGCAGCATCCAGGCTGGGAGCAGACACAAGGTGGGAGCTGCCCATGCGCAGGCCCATGCCAGCTATGGGGGAACTGAAAACTCTTCCAGGCTTGGCTCGCTTTCAGTGACACTCATTTCGGGGATTGTGCAGCATGCTACAAAACTAAAGACGTTTCATGGGGGCCAGCAAATGTCTGGCTCTTTTAACATCATGTCACGTGGGGCACCACGAATACAGCGTGGTGGGACGGCTGCCTTCACCCTCTTTCTGCCCGACTGCTTGAGTCTGGCTCGAGGGGCAAGAGATCTGACACATGTTTGGGAAAAGACACGAAGGGAGAAGCTGCACTGCAGGCACTTATTGACCTTCAGCCTGCTCCAACTCTCCTTTAGCCACCCAGGCTGGCCACACATCAGCGGCTGTCAGATCTCAAACCTGGGCGAGATCTGAGTTCACAGAAAGGACGAAAGAGCTTTGTCTCTGTGCACACAGCTCCTCAGGCACAGCTCTAACCTGAAGTTGTGAAGGTTGACATATGCCTTCTCTCTCTTGGCAAGCACGTGTTTGATGAGGCCTTCTCTTTGTCCCGACTGCGTGCTGGGCAAAAACATTTTGCGCATAGTGTTGGTCACTTTTGGCTGGTCTCTTGATCCACCTTCTCTCTCTCTGTGAAATCTAGGGAGGAAGCAAGAGCAGAATTAAAACTGGTTCTGCTGTCTAGGAAGAGAAGGAAAAAAGGGAACAGATTCTCCACGTTACTTACTGCCTATTTTGAGGCACAGGAGGAGGTGGGGGTTCCCGGCGAGATCCCATTTGGTGGTTTTGCATGTTTCTTTTCTCTTCTAGGCTTAGAGTGTTGAAGTCATCCTCAAATCCCAGAGCTCCTACAATGAAAAAAACAAGCACAATGCCCTGAGAAACAATTTCAAACAGCTCAGATCAAGAAGGAAAAAATATAACTCTACAGAAAGTGAAAAGGCAAACGATAATAGCAGTGTATCAACTCTGATGACTCAGGGAACGAGAGAAAGGGTTACTAACAACAAGCCAAGGCAAGAGGGAGCGTAACATACACAAACCAAGGGCAGAAGACAGCCCTCGAGGAGGAATGAATGGTGCAAGGCATCAGAATCCAAGGACTGAGATGTTTTATTTTGTGCAGGGTGGTGTGAAGTGAGGAAAGGGGGCAGAGGCCAGACTTCTGAGTGCAAGGTCAGACACAGCTCCCTGTCCCCAAGTGCCCCATCACCCTGTGCAGATCACAGAGAGTACACAGAGGACAGACAGTTCAGTACCCAGAGAAGAGGTCTGCGATAGACCTGGGAGGTTCTTCTCCACCTGGTGCCAGCTGGCTGAGTCCTTAGGTTCAGGAAGAGCCTTCATGTGGGCTGGAAAAAAAGTCAGCCCTGTCAGAAACTGCTGGCAGTCAGAGGATTGCACAAACACAACTATAGCTCTGCTTACCTTCCTGTATGCTCTGCACTTCTGAAAGGAACCCTAAGCAACGCTCCTCATCAGGGATTTCAAAGAGCCGCTCCGCCATCTCGTCACCTTGTATCCGGACCTTACAGCCTGCTTCAGGCACAAACACAGACTCACAGAGTCAGTCAACCTTCACAGATATCGTGTCCTGAGAGTGACCAGGATCTCTAGGTATCCTTGGAGCTCATCAACGAAAGCCAACTTCCAGGTATTGTTTCCGATGGGTATCGGTACCTAAGCTAGTTTCCCCGTGCTTCTGAGATCCCCCCTCATTGCCTCCCTTGGGGACACATCAGTCATGTTTTCCTGGCTTTAGGAATACTCCTCACTACTTCAATCTCACAGAGAAGAGCTCTAAAAGTAGTACTAAAGATTTATTGAAAGGGAAAGAATTGGTGACCAGACAGAACATTGTCAACATGGAAAAAGGCAGACAGCAGCCTCGGCTCAAGCACAGGTCAAAGAAACAGAAAGGAGACGAGAGTGGTTCGCAGTGCAATGCAGGGCCTCGGGAAAAGACTTAAGAAGGCTGACCAAGTGCCAGTACTTCAATCTGGGCATTTAAGACCATGTCTGCCATGACAACTGACTGTCTAAAAAGAGCCAGACAACATTAGAGGGAATACAATCCCTGCTTGACGGAAAGACAAACACAAAGTATGGAGGAAGACTACGAAGCGGTAGGTAAAACAAGCGCACGTCAGTGCCCAACGGGCTCCTTCCTGAAAGGAGCTTTAGCCACACGACTGCAGTTATAAAACTTACTGTTTGTAGCTATATCAATCAGGAGGGTTTCTTCTGCCTCTGGAAAAGAGAAAAACAGGATCAAGAGAGTTCATGCTGAATGCCGCAGTAACTGAGCGCTCAAAAAAGCATGCTGCCTGCTACGAGCCACAAGAGAGTCCTAACAAGGAACAAACAGCTTTAACTGACATCTGTACCACTGCTAACGGCTCCAGCAGAAAGAATGGTCATATCTGGACAGCCTGGACAGTCACTTCCCGCAATCGAAGTGTCCCAGGGGAGATTCCTACATCCAGAGCTCTCGCACACCTGGATGGTTTGTTCCACATCGGTGTAGCTCCTTTGGGAAAGACCAGCCTGACAATGAACTTCAGAGCTTGTCTACACAGCAAAAATGATAGGCAGAACCAGACCAAGGGGTAGAGAGGGCTATAAGCTAATCCAGGAAAAGGTGCTTTTATTCCTGAACAAGCATTTGCCCCAGGGACACACGCTGCTATTTAACTTCTTCCAAGACAAGGTCAAAAGCTCTTTCCCATTCCATGAGTGGCTTTTTGGACTTGACAGCACGCCAGACCTTAGAGAGAGTTTTGATCTGAACATGCAGGAATCAGACTAAAGCTCCCAACTCTTGCCACGACGGAGCAGACAGACAGACGTCAGCAGACACCAAATGCTGCTGCAGACAAGCGCTGAACGCGCTGGCTCTGAGCGACGCCGAGCCCACCGCTCATCTGAACCAGCCGAGTTCCTCACAACTGTATGCTGACATGGAAAGACTACCCGCTCAGACGAGGAGGAAGCAGAATTCTATAAACTGTGAGTTTTAGTTTCACGGGGAAGCATTCAATCTATCTGGGCGCTCCGGAGGCAGGCCAAGAAACGCCACTAAACTCGGGTTTTGCCAATGAACAGCAGTGGATTCCTGCCACCACCAGAGAGCCCACTCCAGGAGAGTCGGTACCTTGTACGCATTTAAAGCGGCTGTTGATGGGAATATAATCCGGATCAGAGTTTTCTTTCTCCTGCGAATGGATAACTATCCTAGAGACAGAAAAAAGGCTTGTAAAAACAGAGAAACAACTCCCTCCTCAAACACAGGCAAATGTTAACACAGTCACAGAGCTGTATTTACAGAGAAACGCAATGTTTGACTTCTACTGCTGTGCTGCTGGGATGGGAGTCGGGAAAGGGGAAAAAGGCTCAGAGCCGTGCAGGATGCGGGTGCACATGTTGAGAGAGTGAGCGCCGTTCAGCTCTCGCTGACACGGGGCAGATTCCGCGTTAGGGTGGCAGCAGCTCCGGCTCCCCGGAGGAGCCCAGAGGAGCCGGGGCACGCAGCAGGAACACGCAGCTGGGACGCAGGTTCCCCGTCTCCCTGCT